TCCCTACTCTCTTTACAGAGAGTTCGAGTATGAGTCTTTTCTTTGTTTCAGATAGCTTTGCACTAGCTAGTAAGGAAATGTATTAATGAACAATTAATAGTATAAATGCCTAAAATCAAACATTTACTACAGAACTTAAAAATTTAAAATACAAATAATTTCTTCCATACAGGTGACATATTTTGGGTCAGTAAAAGCATTAAAAAATTGATGCTTGGAATATAAATAATATTACTAACTCTCAGAGCATTTTGTTTGTTCTTACTATGGAATTATCTGCATGCTAAACAAAATACGTGAAAAAATAATTGTAGTAACAGTTAACAACAGTACTTTATGACTATCAGCATTAAATAGTTTGCAAACTGGCAGTGAAACTTTTCAGTGCTTGTTAGATGTTCAGCATCTATCTGGTCAGGAAAAGGTTCTTCATTCCCTCTCTATACCATGCAAATCTCATGATTTTCCAGATTCCAAAAATTATTCAAAAAAAAAAAAACCTTTCAAAAGTAGTTTGATATTACCTGAATACGCCTTACATTTACTGTGGTAGAAATAATCATTTTAGAAAAGCATTTTGCTATTGCAGACAAATGTTCTTAAGTCTTGGCTTATAAATAAATAAATTAAAAAGCACGGTATTGAAACTGTTGATGCCCTTAAGCTCAGTTCAATAACAGATCCCGTCCTTTGCTGTCAGCCAGCAAAATTCCACTAACTGAAGGAGTTATTTTGATGTTTTATAGAGAAACATTATAAAAAATTTCACGATCAGCACTGTAATCTCACAGCCTGCATTCTTTACTCTACCAGTATACAGGCATATATAATTTCATTTTCAGCTCCAATGTCATTTATAGCAATTGATATTTCAATACTGTGGTGCCCAGCCAGCCAGTCTGTAATGGAGGTCACTTGATACTTTATGTAGTGAGCTCCTCTTAACACATGTCCGCATTCTCCTCTGATTGTGTTAGGGGAGGAGGAAATTTTATATATATGTATATGTGTGTGTGTGTGTGTGTCTGTGTGTATATATATTTTGTGTGTGTGTGTGTGTTTATATATATATATATAAATTTTTACATGTATATACACACACCTG